CAGGGCTGGAGAGACGGCTCAGCAGTTAAGAACACTGACTGTTCTTGCAGAAGACCCAGGTTTGAATCCGAGCACCCACATGGCAGCTACCAACTGTCTGTAACTCCAGTCCCAGGGGATCTGACAGCCTCTTCTGACCTCCGCGGGTATTGCACGACATGGGTGCACTTACCTGCATGCAGACAATACATGCATACACATAAAGTAAAAAAATAAAATTTTTAAAAAATATATGTTTAAAACTCAGGGGGGCTAAGAGATGGCTCAGTGATTAAGAGCTCTGGTTGTTCTTTCAGAGGACCTGGGTTCAATTACCAGCACCCACAAGGCCGCTAACAACTGTCTGTAATTCCAAGTCCAAGAGATCCAACGCCCTCTTCTGACCTCAGCGTGCATTGCCTGCATCATGGGTGCACCTATATACAGGCAGGCAATACACCCATACACATAAAATAAAAATAATAAATAAAAATATTTTTAATTTAATTTTAAAAACTTAGAAAGGAGAATGGTGGTTGCCAGGAACTAGGGAGAGGGCTATTGGGGAACTAGCACATCATAAGAGTGTCTACCGAGGTAGGTGAAAAGCCTGTGATGGTCTTGGTTGAATAACAGTGTGAAACTAATTCCACAGAAATAGCTACATATATAAAATGGGTAAAATACTACATTTTATCCTAAACATAACTTACATTTGAAAAGAGCCTTTAACTAAGGTGCTCACACTGATGATCCTGTAAAGCAAGTGAATCTTGGCATGAAGTCCCACACTGGATCTGGATCGCTGCAGGAGTGAGAGACTCTCCCCACATGTCACTTATCCCCCTGTGTCACTGTAGAGTGGTCCAAGGGAGCAAGGCCACGTGTAGCCACTAGACCAGAGACAGGTACCTTTAGAGGAAAGGAAGCTTTTAAAAAAGATCAAGACTTAAGAATGTCATGGCTCCCGCCATCTTGCTCTGGTCTCCACTGGAAAGGAGAATCTATGGCCTAAGAATTTACAAAAGGGGAAATCAGCTCCCCAGAGCCCCTCTGCAATTGTCTTCTCAACACTGAGAAAGTGAATACACTGCCTGTTGGATTAGTACAAAGAACTCGTATGTACATGTCTCTTGCTGTATCATCTGTGTTTTAGAAAACTGTCTTTCTTGTAAAACAGTAAATATACTGTTGCTATTACAGGGAGACCCAGGGAACCCAGGACCACCCGGCTTACCAGTAAGTCTCCAAAGCAGACCATGAGCTTCTGTATCCTCTTCAGGTAGCCCAGCATCCACCTCAGATTTTAAGCCTGACTGGACCAGCTGCATAATATGTGGAACTCACCTAATATAGACTGCAAATATAGATCCCTTGTTCAAAAATTAAGAATTCCATGCTATTGACAGCAGAGTATTAAGTCCATGTGTAATGTCCCAGTTCACCTGCCAGGAAGCAGTCTCTGTATCTTGTCATGAACAATGAGCATTGTTCAGGTATGAGAAGACTCTTGGTATTTAGGAAAGCAAGTCTTAGGAATGTCATATAATCTATAATACATATGACCACCTACATAAGTACACTAAGTGGCAATTATTTTGCTCTGTTTCGGTGCCACTGCTGCCTGCCAAGTTGGTAACTGTATATTATTATTTTGCCCCCACTTCCATCTCCCTGAAGCTTGCAATCCAATGATAATATTAGCTTTTCCAGTTTATCAATGTTTACGAGACTGAAACTAAAAGTAGTTTTGCTTCCCAGTGATTAACCTGTAATTTTCCTTTGTGACTTCTGGCTATTGACAGAATTACTTTCCTAGGCTGGTTCCCTAAGTTGTGCTGAAACCCATTCCGTGTAATAAATGGGATGCTTGTGATGGCACTGTTAAAATCAATGCCAGATCATTCTCCTGGAGAGGGCAACTCTTCAACTCATGAGTCATTTGAGCAGCAAACTGCTGTCTTCAGCCTCCAAGGGTCACCCAGCTTTTCCCGCCATCTGCCAGTGTACACACCACGATGCTGGAACCCACATGTGACAGAGAGTTACCTGTGTCTGAGCCATCTTGACCCTGAGTTGGGGGCATTCCTCTTTACATTAATCTTATAGTCACATTTCAAAAGTATTTTTAAAACTATGAATACATTTTAAAAATATGAACAGGGACCATGACTACTATTAAAAGGCACCCTGACGTGTATAAAATTGTGATGTATGTGGAATTTAGAAGTAGCTAACGGGATTCTTTGTTGTTCTTGACATTTTTATTAAAACATTTTTTGTAAGATGTAAATCGCTCTCCGGGCCTTAAGTGAACCCTAAAGGTAGAATGACTCCCTTATCGGAGTGCTTCTCCCTGCTTTCGGAAGATGCTCCGGCTGGGCACATGTGGGGGGCTGACTACTTGGTGGGGTTTTTCATCTACTTGGACTTATATGCAGTCCTTCACAATCAGAGTGCTGATTTTTCTTTTCTCTGTCTAGGGATCTAGGGGTGAACGAGGATCAGCAGGCCCCATGGGACATGCCGGGGTGCCAGGGTTAACAGTAAGTATAGTTTTGCTGTCCCTCTGTAAACCCAGAGGCAGCACTACACAGAGAAAACAAACCGTATTCTTGGGTCAGGTCCAGGTGAACTACAACCTGATGGCTATACTCTGATGAACCACTATTATTGTCAGGAATCCATTTTGATACACAGGTCCTCCAGGAAAAGCTATTCACATAGAACAACAATGTTCACATAGAGCTACTCATGGCTAAAGTCCATTGTATGTGATTTTTGTTTTTACATGACAAATAATTATACACATAAGGCTGTAGAGAGTTTTCCCCGCAAATCTGAGGACTTGAGTTCAATCTCCAGAACCCATAGAGAAAAGCCAAGGATTGGTGGCACATGATTGTCGTCCTAGTGCTGGGGAGGTAGCTGAGTAGCCAGCCTAGCACAATCAGCAAGCCCCAGGTCTTAGCGAGAAACACTAAACAAGCTGGATGTCTCCTGAAGATCAACACCTGAGGTTGATCGCTGGCTTCCACATGCAGACACACAGGTAAACACACAAATACATACACACAAAATTTGGTATGTATTCATGGGTAAAATGTGGTATTTGGACACATGCATTCCGTGTGCTGTGGTCAGATCAGAGTAATTAGCATGTCCACCACCTGTAACATTTATCACTTCTTTGTACTGGAAACATTTTAAGTCTTTGGCAGCTATTTTGCAATGTACAATAAGCTATTGCTGACCATCACCCTGCTGTGCTGTAGACCCTAGAACTCAGTTCTCTCGTGTCTGTGCTCTAATTTCCTAGTCCTTCTCTCTGCCCCTTTCTTCCTGATTCCAGCCTTTCCAGACTCTCACAACCACTATTGCCCTCTCTACTTATGCGAGATCAAATTTGTAGCTTCGTATGAATGAGAACAGCAGGGTGTGGTGGCGCACGCCTTTAATCTCAGCACTCCAGAGGCAGAGGCAGGCAGATCTCTGTGAGTTCAAGGCCAGCCTGGTCTACATAGCGAGTTCTAGGCCAGCTGGGGCTACAGGAGACCCTGTCTCAGAAAGACCAAAAAGAAAAATAGAATGAAAATAGTACCACATGCATTTAAAATTAAATGTTTCTTAAATTGGAACTTGGGGCCCCCGAGGAAGACACATTCTGACGGCAATGACTGATAACTGATTTTTTTTTTTTTGCACTGATTTAGGGTCCTACAGGCCATCCTGGGAGCCCTGGTTTGAAGGTAGGTCCTGAATAAATACATCACCACAGCCTACCCTCCGTGAAATAGTTGGTCATTGATGCTTATCTGAATTGCATCTTACCAGACTTCCCAAAGCATTTAAATAAACTTGAATGAATTGCAGCCAGAAGTCTCTATTGCTTTTCATTGCTTTTCTTTTAATTTAAAGGCATTTAGGCTGTTTTCTTCTTCTTTTCAGGGCAATCCTGGCTTGGGGGTGAAAGGGCAAAGGGGAGACCCGGTAAGAATTGCTTGGTCCCCTCTGTCACAGAGAAGCAGATGCTAAAAATGTGGGGCTCGCTAGTCCTGGAGGCCGCTCTGATGCTACTTGTATTGTGTTGTCACTTTCCAACTGTAGAGCTTAGAGTTTCTCTTTGATGAATTATTATGACACTTTTATCCTGGTTATATAAGGCAGTGACGGTTCTGACAACACAGTATTCTTGGTCCAGGAATCCCACCTATCAAAAACATAGATATGGGCTGGAAAGCTGACGCAGCTGTTAGAGGCTCAGGCTCATAACTGAAAGACAAAAACACAGATACACTATGTAGCCCGTGCCAGCCTCAGATTTGTGACTCTCCTGTTTCAGCCTTTCATGTGCTGAAATTGCAGGATTAAAACTACTTTAACAGATCACTATTCACATATATATATAGATAGATGTGCATATATGTGTATATATGTGTATAAACATATATGCCATACATCTATAAACACCACAGTCAATAGATTATCTTTAAAGAGTAAGATTAATTATGAATCATTTTTAATTTTTTAAATTTTTTGAAATCACATTTTGATAAAACTAAATGCCATTTTTATTCCATAGTGAATGTTCCATTTTATTTCATTTTAAATCTGTGACAGAAAGGATTAAAAACATTATACTATAATATATGGGTGAAAGTTTTCTTTGTTTCAATACCTAAATTAAGATGAAATTCCTATTCTCTTGATGTTTTTATTGAGGGCGAGGTTGGCCAGCAAGGTCCCCCTGGACCCACCCTCTTGGTGCAGCCACCTGATTCTTCTCTCTATAAAGGACAAAAGGTAAGCCTCCAATCACCTTGTTAAGTCACCATGTAAGCTACTCATAGGAAACATTTTCTTCACATGTACCATGTACCATCGCAGCAAAGGGCTGGGCCTTATTCGAATCATTGCACTAACCTCAAAGCTACCTTAATCACCTGGTGCCCTTAGTAGCCCCACTGTAAGGGGTCGAACACTGAGGCTCGGGGGTCACCATCTTCTCAGGTGAACTCAGCTGCCAAGTGGCAGACTGAGCAAGGGTTGCTAAATCAGGCTAAGGTCTCCAGAACATGAGACCTAATGAATGTTGTGTGATGTGTGGACATCAAATATGGGGAATCCAATTACCTTAAGATATTAGAGATGGATTTCATGTTTTGATAACTGGAAAGGTAACATGATAGACTTTAGGAAAATATGAATCTGTCCACCTCCAACACTGACATTATCAATGTCAGATGCACAGCCTGTAGTTGTTTTTCAGTCATGGGTTAAATTCCCCTCCCTTACCAAAACAAGCCTTTCAAATCTCAATGGCTGGGTTTCCAGCCTCACATCGGCAGCCTGGTTCCATGTTTATCTCCATGCTCCATGTGTGTCTCACGCTGGCCGGAATTGCTCCAGGTCTATAAATATGCTTAGGTCATTGTTGGTAATCTAATCTCTTATTTT